CCCCAAAACCCCAAAACCCCAAAACCCCAAAACCCCAAAACCCCTCAGCTTTTGATGATGTTGCTTAGTCATAATACAAATATTAAAATTAAAAATGAAGCCGAAAGAAGAAAGCACCCCTAAGTATCCTGATCCTGGCTATGAAATGTACTCTAACTTCAGGAATAATAACCAAAAAACTGAGAAAAACAAAGAAGAGAGAAAGAGGCTAAAAGTCTTTTCAAATTTATCTTCTGTACCCCCTCTTTCCAAAAAGATTGACCAGAGGGTTATAACTAAAGAAATTAGTAAGGAAAATAACCGTGATCCAGAGACTAGATTTAAGCAAGAATTTGCTTTAGAAGGGTTCGAGGATGATGCCAATAGCCATCAGCAATATAATTACCAGGATTCCAATATTTGTCAGCAAGATACTATAGGAAGAATTAGACATGAAAACTCAGTTGGCCAATCTTTGCCTAGTTTTAGCTCTGAGTTTGATCGTGCAAGGCAGATAACCCAAAAGGAAAAGACTTCTGAAGTGTTGAACAAGTCATTTAATGATGTCAATATGGGAGCGAGCAGCTTCCTTGCATCTTCCCCTAATGATGCATCTATGCAGTTCGGGCTAAATCAAAGTCACAATGCGAATGTATTTGAACAAAGAGATATGAGTCAAGACACTAAAGCTTTTAGTAGTCTTCCTAGAAGTAATCCTGGTATAAAATCACTCAAAGATAATTCTAGAAGAGGAAGAAGGGAATTCTTTCCATCTAATAGGCTGAACAGAGGCGGTATGACCTTTGGAAAGAAATCAGGAAATAAAAACTCCTCTGAAAGCGACAGGACCCCTGATAGAAAGAAGCCAGCCCAATGGGGATTGAAAGTCGATAAGATAAACCCTTCTGTAGGTAAAATTAGAAAGCCTGATTTCTTGAAAAAGCCTTCTCGCGAGATCATGATTAGTGGAGTCAGTTCCAGGGAGCTCTCCTGATATCTATATAATCAGCTTCAGAAGATTGGAGAAATCATAGAGCCTAAGATGAAATGGAATAGTAATGGCCAAATGAACGTTAAATTTGTTCACCCAGAGAGTGCAAAGAAAGCAATAGAATTATTTGACGGAACTTATGTCTGAGGATCAAAGCTAAAAGTTACCCAAATATTGCAGTTAAATACTTCTTTCAAACCCAAGCTTGGGAGATTTTTAAACAACGCAAAGCTCCTTCCTCTGATAAAGGAGAATGAGGAGTCTAGCGACGGTGAGAAGGTTTCAAGCTCTGAAAATGATAAGTACTCTCCAAACTCTATAATTGAGAATGAAGTGGACACTCTTGAGTATATAAAGAAGAATATTACAGACCTGATTGATACAGAAGACCCTCAAGAGAATGTAGAAGCTCAAGAAAAAGCTAATAACGGCAATAAAACCAACTCTTCTAATATGGGGTTGGATTATAGCCATCAAGCGAAGGAAAATTGGGAAGATGACCAAAGATACTACGAACAAGAGGATTTTGCTGATAATAGTCAGGGAAGAAATCAGATCAATGGTCAATTATATCAGAGTGTCAGCTCTTCATCTGGAGGAATAGGTGAAAATAACATATCAACATCAGAGGATGCAAAACGCATTGGGTATTTCAACAGGACTCAATCTGTGCCTATGTTCAACCCTATTGGTAGTGGAATTAGTTCACTTATGAATAATTCTTACGAGAGTTGAGGTAGAGCAGAAGACAATGAAATGCAAAGGTCTTCAAGATCTTACTTTTCAAGAAGCTCATTAGAATCAAACCTAATGTATCAGTCAGCATGCGAGAGAACATTTGCTTCATCAGGAGGAATGATGGACCATAATAACTCAGGAATGCAGCAGGATTTACAGCAGCAAATGCATTCATCGTTTGATCTAAGAGATGATCCTTTAAACCAATATAACACTCTGACACCAAGACTTGCAAGCAATTATAGCTTCATATCAGGTCAAAACTATCCTCATGGAACCCAATTTTGAGACCTAAACCAGTTTTCCGGCACTTGGACTGAGCCTTACCATCCGCTCCAATATAATCCGCAGATCGGAATGAGTACTAGTTACAGCCAGGCCAGTCTGTACCACCAAAAATCAATCTCAAATCTTGGTGAAAAGGATCAGCAGCTGAGCTTCGAGTCCTCATCAATAAGGAACCAAAAGAATAGAAAGTGGCTGAATAACAAGTTTCGCCCCAACAAGAAAATTCAGTCTGTCCATGAGAAGGATGACAGCAAATATATGGTCAAAATCAGTGACATCATTGATAGGAGAGATACCAGGACTACACTTATGATCAAAAATATTCCCAACAAATACAGTATCAAGCAGCTGTTGTTCGAAATTAACCAGAACAATAAGGAAAGGTTCAACTTTCTCTACGTGCCCATTGATGTTCAGAATAATTGTAATGTAGGCTATGCCTTCATCAATTTCCTTGACTCCGCTTATATCCTCGATTTCTACCAAGAGTACAATGATAAAGGTTGGGACTCTTATAACAGTGAGAAGGTGTGCCAGATCAGGTATGGCCGCATCCAAGGCAGAAAGAAGCTCATCAGCCACTTTGAAAACACCAAAGTTATTAAGAACAAGGATAGGAATGTCAAACCCTGGATCTCAAACAAAGAAGAAGTTAACACTAAAGAAATCGACCAGATTTTGGAAAGATATAAGAAGAAAAGAGCTAAAGATAGAGCTGATAAACTCAGAGATAAATTTCATGGAAATGACGTACCCAATGAAAATGCTAAAGAAGAAATCCCTAAAAAGACTAAAGATTTTGATAAGAAGAAAATTCTTACTAAGTTATTAGAAAAGACAGGAAATGAGAAAAATGATAGGACTAAGGCACCTAATAATGTATCTAGCAAATGGAATAGTCAAAAGCCAGCCAATGCAAATCTAAAACTTGACCAGGTAGCTATCGGTAAGCATCCATCAAGTGATGATGAGGTGAAGAAAACCAAAGTCCAAAAGACAGATCAAAATAAACCAATGATCAAGAGTTTCAGAGTAAATCTCAAGAACATTGGAAAGAAATCTCAGGAGAGTTAATATTATTTTTAATAATATTGCAAAATTCATGCTCAAGCGCTTGTCAGAGTCCTGGGGTTTTGGGGTTTTGGGGTTTTGGGGTTTTGGGG